TATGCTGCTCAGTGCTCCCAAACTGGGGCCTGCCCCAGAAAACTTCTTGTTTGGGGCCAGGCTCCCCCTGAATCCCATCCCTGCATTCAGCCTTATCCATCCCTCCTGCCTGGGGCAACCCAGTGCCCCTCTCAGCCCGCCCTGTGCCCCCAAAGGACTTTCCTTGCAGGTGTTATTGGGGCTGTGGGGGACTGAGCTGCCACCACAGAGCCCCCGCGGGCTGGGGGTGCTGCCTGGAAGCAGCTGCAGCATCCTGGTGCTAATGAAATCCATCGGGAAAGCAGCCCCTGAGCAGCAGCAGCAGCGTTTGGGAGCCAGATTTGCCGAGGGGAAGTGACTCAACGTCTTGGAAGGAGTTGGGGGCGGTGGGGGGGGCAGAGGACAGCGGTTGACCCAGGGTGGGGACAGCACGGGGGGGGGCTGGCAGCCACCTGCCTCCCGCTGGAGGAGCAGCATCCCCGTGGAGCGCTCTGTGCTCTGTTATCCCTCCTTAGGGCGGTGTGATCCCGGCCTGGGGGACGGGACAGGAAAGGAGGCCCCTTGGGAAGCAGTTGTTGCTTCCTCACGCTGGGCCGTGGCAGGATCCGGGCCAGCGTTCCCAGCTCCCGGCGTCACACCCTCTCCCAGCTGTTGCTCGCGGAGCATCCTGCTGCCAAGAAAACCCTGGTGATGGATGCAACCAGGACTCCTTCCCACTCCCCTCGCATTTAAAACCGGCGGGGAGCGGCCCCGTGCCTGCGCCTGATCCTGCCGCACCGGGATCCACCTGGGAATGGGATCCTGGTGCCACCCTGGACACCTTGGGCATCCTGACCTCGTCCTACCCAACAGGGAACAGTGGGAGAGCCTGGCACCACACGAGGTATTTGGAAAGGTGACTGGAAGGCTTGTTGCGGGAATACTGGGAGCACTGGGGTGTGTTACTGGGGGGACTGGGGTGTGTTACTGCGGAGTGGATGGGACAGGACCTGCAGCAGAGCGATGGGGAAGACTCAGCCCTTGTGACTCCCCCAGCCCAGGACCACACTTCTCCTGGTTTTTATTACTTTGGGAAGTGAGTGGCATTTTCCACTGTCATGGGGGCACTGCTCCCCCCGGGCAGAGGGGCTGCACCCCACTGGGGACCTGCCACAGATGCCACAAGTGTGGCACATCCCGCAGTGCTGCTGGCACTGGCACGCTATGGAGCTGCCGTCCCATCCTGGGGCTCCTGGGAGAGAGGGACCCCAGCGTGCCAGTCACAAGCTGCCCAGTTGGCACATCCCCCCTGGTGCAGACGTCTGGAGTTTTGGGTCTCTTCTCCTTTCCCCGCGCTGGCCCCAGTGATCTGGCACATCAGCACTTTTCCTCCTGATTCAGCCTCGGGGATGTTGCGACACGGCCCCGTTGTGCAAAGTGGGCCCCGGCCCCAATTCCTCTTTTTCGGCTCCTGTGGGAGCTCAGCCACGTGCACGGGGGTCGTTGTCCCCGCCTGCACGGGACATGATGGCTGTGAGCTCCCACAGGGAATCGCTCTCCACTGGCATCACCTGCTGATTCTGGGTCATGGCAGTTTTCACGCCTGGCTTTTTTTTCACAGCCGGTTTTCCGGTTGTGCCAGCGGCTCTGAGGAAACTGGGATATCTCCCTTGTGTGTGTCTGAAATCAGAAATCTCATGGATATTTGTGGTGGGAGCAGGGGGTTGCTGTGGTTGAAGTGATGCTCTGGTGCAGGTGCACAGTACCAGCTTTTGGTCCAGGCATTGGTATCTCCCTCTGGATGGGCTCTCCTGGCTCAGGGCAGGGATTTGTGTCCCTCCAGGCTCAGCCTGATCTGGGTCACCGGATGCACCGTGAGTGCCACCAGCAATTCCCACCTCCTCACAGGGTTCAGGTCAGGATGGCCCTTGGCTGGTGACCCTCTGCTTGGGGTCCCATTGCAAACCAGGACAGGCTGATTCATCACTGGGAACACGCTGCTGGATCCCACCTCAACCCAGCTGGACGAACAGCTGGGAACAGGCAGGACCTGGTGAGGCGAGGACACAATCCCTGTTTTCCATGCATCCCAGGGATGGCTTTGGGTTACTCCACTCCTGCATGTGTGAGGCCAAGAGCATCTCAGGAGTGGGGAAGGGAGATGGGGGTCCTGGGGAACAGGGATGAGGGGCATCCAGGGGTGGAGAAGCCCTAGGGGACCTTCTGGCTGTGCTCAGCAGGAGCAACAAAACCACAGTGAGGGATGGCCAAACCTTTCCTGAGGGGTCCCATGGGGCTCCCAAGCCACTGTGGGCAGCACAGGGTGGTGGATGGGACACGTCACCGAGGGCAGCCGCTGCCACATCCCCTCTCGTGTCCGGCTGAACCCATGGTCCGAATCCCACATCCTCCTGCAGAGCTTTGCTTCCCCCTTCCTAGGCTCTCTGTGCCGAGCTGGTTTATCCCACCAGCTGCATGTATTTTCCTCATCTTCCCATTCCCTGTGCATGTCCCCAGAATGAGAAGCTTCCACAATATCCCTGTCAGCTCCAGCTTGGACACCAACTGACCCAACCCTGGGGTCATTTCCATGCCAGCCCTAACGTGGGTATAGAAGCAGGGATGTCTAATCCAGCCTCCAGATGCTGAAAAATCCTTGGGGATTTATCCATCTCAGGTAAACACCTCTGGATTTATATATGTATTAATTTCTTTATTTTTATAGGGATTTGGGAGGAGGGTTTTGCTGTAGATTTGCAACCAGTTGCGGTTTTTTGCTCCTCTGTTGTTATAAAGTGGATTTGGGATGGCACAGGATGGTGGGTGGTGAGAACCTCTAGGATCCCTGCTGTCCTCCACCTCAAACCCCATATTTTCCCTAATTTTCCATGAAATCCCCACCTCTTTTGGAGCTGGGCTTTGCAGCCTGTGGTGATAGAAACCCTTAATGGTGGGAAAACTGCATGGAAGGGAGAGGAGCTGGACGTGAATTTGGGGGGGTGATGTCCTTACAGTGTGGCAGTGTCACCTCAGTGGGGACAGGGAGAACAGGGGGGCTTTTCTTTCCCATGCTGATCAGCATTCAGCTGGGAATGCCAAACACAGCTGCAAGGATGCTCCTGCGGATCCGGGGGGACTTTCTCACTCGAGGGGGCTGATTGTGCTGCCCCATCCGTCCCTCTCACAGTCACGTCTGTCCCCCAGCAGACTTATTTCCTTTTTCTTGCTTTCCTTGTTCTTTGTACCCTCCAAATCCGGAGTGATGTCCCCAAGGCTTTGTCCCCACGCAGCCATGATGAAGCCCAAGCCATGATCAGGGACATCCCTCCCTGGGCTGGTGGGATGTAGCAGGGAGGATGCTGCAAAAAAGGGAGTTTTATTGCTCTTTTTATTGCCTGAAAAGTGCCAGGAGAGCCTTGGATTATTAGAAAAAAAAAGAGAGGAGATGAAAGAACTTTTATTATCTTGGAAGTCAAGTCATCTTAAGCAGCTCAGAACCACAAACTGCCCTTTTCAAAGAAAATCTTTGCCTGTGTAGGTACAAACGCCCAAGATTTTCCCCTTTAATCCTCAAACCTCCCTAAGAACAGAATGGATGGAGCAAAAGGCTGGGATTTTAGTTACAGGGCGGCTATTAACAACACTTTGTGCCAGGGAAGGATACATTCCTTTGCCTGGATCCTGCTGGAGTTTCACCCTGGCAAGAGCCTTTCATGACCCGATTTTTGAGGTTAAACACCAGTTTCTGCCTGGACTGGGGTGTGTTCCCTATTGAGGTGACCCCATACCATGGCTGGGGGGTATCCATGAGATCCATCCCATCCCGAGCCGTCCCATCCCGCACAGCCCGGCCGGCGCTGCCCAGATAAACACTGACTCATGTTATTCTGTCCCACCCTGGGCACAGCAACTTTTTTAAGGCTGCCTTTTCCAGCTATTCCTTTTTTTCCTGTGCTGTTCACACGGGGCGGGAGATGAAGCCTTAGCTGAGATGTCTGGAGCAGCCGGGAATGCCGAAGGCTGCAAGTCCCGGCTCTGTGCTGGTGAAGCGGGATGTGTCTGAGTGCCGTGGATGCAGGTAGGGATCAGGCTTCCCACCACTCTCAGCCTTGGGGAAGAGCCCCGTGCCTCAGTTTCCCCCATGGGGACTGGCTGTACCCCTCCCTTTGCACTGGAAACTCCCAGCTCATCAGGAGAGCTTCCAGCCTGGATCCTCACTGGCAGAAGCCTGTGCTCAACCTGCTGCAGCTTCTCCCATGGCATCCTGCATCCCTTTCAGCCTGCTGGAGCAGGACTGAGGGATCAGGGATGGTGGCAGGGCTGGGACTGTGGCCAGGAGCAGCTTTGGGCAGGCCAGGGCTCAGGGTTTTGCACTGGTGAAGTCTAAGCTCCCTTTTGATGGGCTGGTGGTGGATTTACACCCGGGAGTAAATCCCGGTTGGGGCTCCATCCTGGGCATCCCGGTGGGGAGTGGGATGCTGCACAGCATCATCCCTGCAGCAGCTGTTGCCATGGCGATTTCTGGCCAAAATAAGGGGGAGTTGGAGCTGGGTCCCCAGAGTTGCTTTCCCATTCCTTTTGGTGTCTTGCTCCATTGAGCCCTGGCAATTCCGTGTGGGAGTGGGAGCTGGATCCCGGCAGGGAAGTCCCTCCCATGTAACCCTGGGCTGGAAAAGTGTGGGTGCTGAAGGGATGGATGGGGGTGGCTCCAGGTGCCAGCCTGGGATGGGGCCTGCATCCATCTTCCCTGTAGCATGAGATCTGGCCCATTGAATCCCTAGGGATGCTTGGAATCCAGCCTGCAGGGTGGGACTCAAACTCAACCAGAGCAATCAGCCCCCATGAGACTGAGACCGGCATCCACATGTCCCCAGGGACATCCCTGCCCTCCAGGCACATCCAGGACTGCGCCAGGGCTCAGTGGGGGCCGGTACCAGCAGGTTCGGGGGGACATAGAGATCCTGTTTTGCCCCATGCCCTTCCCAAAACTCCTCAGCTGAGAGACCGCTTGTTCCCCCAAACATCTGCTGGCAATTCCCCTCTCCCGGGGAGTGGGGCTGTGCCGGGGCTGCGTGGGCAGCTCCTGTGCCTCTCACCCGCCGGAGGAAGTGGATTGGGGTTTTGGGGTGTGCTGGGAACTCGGAAGCCGCTGCTGGAAGGAGGGAGGGAAGTGCTCGAAGGAGAAACAGGCAGAGCAGCTGCACGGGAGGGGCGAGCAGAGCCCACCCTGACACCCACCTGCTTCCCAGGGGATTGTTCGTCCTGTCCCCGGGTGTCCCTTGCACCCCGCGGGTGCTGTGGGGGGACAAGCACCAACCCAGGGGCACCCCCAGTTTCCCCAGGGCTGCAGACTCGGCACAAGCAGGTCCCAGCCCGATTTCACTACTGCATGATGTGGATAAAAGTGTGATGCACTTTGACAGCTCAGGAAGGACTTGATGTGCTCAAAAGCTGCTCTGCTGGTTTGATTTGATTTGCTTCTACTTTTATTCCCGCAACCTGTACCGGTTCCTCCAGTAAAAAGTCTGGCCCGCGGGCACTGAGAGGGCAGGAGGCGGTGCTGGCAGCCTGCCCATCCCTGTAAATCCCGGTGCAGGGCTCTGGCACCGCCCGTGCCCGGTGGTCCCTCCTGCCAGGGTGCCGAGCATCCCCTGCCCTCTCTGTGTCCCTGGCAGGCAAATCCAGCTGAGCTCCCCCCGTTTCCCCACTCACATCCGTCTCCCGCCTGTCTGGGCTGGCCACGGAAGAGTTTTCGCCCAGAAAAGCTGGATTTGAACATTTTCTGCTGTTCTCTCCGCTTCCTGTTGCCTTCCCAAGAACAACATCCCTGACCTCATCCGCGGGATGCTGCCCGTGTGCCGCCCGTCGGGAATCCCAGCCGGCGCCCCGGCTTGGGCTCGGCCTTCCCTGGGTACCAAGACAAATACAGCTGCGGGAATGTCGGACCAAGAGGCTATTTTGGGTAAATCCTGTGCTCATTTTTGTTGAGGTAGGAGGACACAGATGAATAGACTGAAGGGAGAACAGTGGTTTTGGCTCGAGCCGGGAATTTTCATCCCGCAGAGCAGCAATGAAACACTTGTAGTATTATATGTTGGTTTTTTTTTTTTTCCCCAGACTTTGGTTTTTTTTGCTGTGAGAAATGAGGAGGTTTCATGCAGCTGCCCTCTCCATTTTGGGGAGGATTTCAGGGAGGCAGGTGGGAATTTGCTGGATGATTTTCCAGTGGGTTTGGGCTCCCGGTGCCCATCCTGCCCCTGAGCTCTCCAGAGCCATCTGGAACATTCATGGTGGGGTTGGCAGCTGCCTGCCTGCTGCTGTGGGGTTTGGGATTGCTGCTTACGAGCCCTGGAGACAAACCCATCCCGTGCCAAATCCCATGGGGAAATAGAATCCTGATGTTCCCGTTGATCTCTGTCATCCTCATCCCAGCTGGGGACTGAGACCAACCTGATGCCCAACATGGCGGAGCAAAATAAATAGACAAAATAAATAATCTATTAAACAAAGCTTTGGAATGTCTGAAAGTCTTCAGGCTCAGCAGTTAAAAATAATAATGAAAGGGAGATTTTGTGTTAAAAATATATGTGGTCACAGTGAGAAGAGGAGCCTGTGAAGCTGAGAAATTGTTCCTACCCACCTGGAGCAGGGGCTGAACGTGGGGTCTGGGTGATCCTGTGGTGGTGAGGGGTGGTGGTCCAGCCCTGGTCATCTCTCATCCCACAGGTGACACCATGGTGGAACTGGAGGTGGGTGGCATTTTTGGAGGTTTCTCCACAGTGGTAGAGCAAGTTCTGGGAGCTTTGAGGCTCTCTGGGTGAGGGGTGGTGGGATGGGACAGGATAGGATGGCATGATATGGGATGCAATGAAGTGGGGTGGGATGGGATGTGATGCAATGGGGTGTGGTGGGATGGGATGCAATGAAGTGGGATGGGATATGAGGCAATGGGGTGGGGTGGGATGGATGTGTGGTTTTGGGTTCTCCCACCTTTCTTTGGGAAGGTGATGACCTGAAAGCTGCTGTTCCATAAAGTAGCGACTCATTACCCAGGAACATTAACATTAAGAGTCAGTTCTGCTGATTCTGTTCCTTCCACCGGATCATCAACTTTAATTCATCTCTTGACCATCAAGGTTTTGCCAGGACAAGACCTCCTTCCAGCTCCAGCTAATTCCCAAACTTTGCACTAGTACCTCATTTATTCTGGCCTCTTATCACCCGCTGGAGTTCAGCAAGCGGGGGGGTGATGGGGTGGGATTTAACCCCTTGGCCAGGAACTTTGCAGCAGCAATGGCAGGAAGGAACAGGAGGAAAAGCCCAGGGAGAAACAATAAGTTCCAACACAAACACCATGGGAATTTCAAAGCAGGGCTGGCAGGAGGGTGACGCTGAGGGGACGTTCAAGGTGAAATGCCTTGGGAACAGGGAGTGTCCCTGGGCGGGCAGAGCCACATCCCTCCTCCAGGACACATCCGGGTGCAATGGTCTGTGCTGGGGCTCACACAGATCCTGCTCCTTCTGCCAAGGCTTGCTCAGACTGGTGGCTTTTGGCTTTAGTTCACTGTGATGGCTCACAGGGGGTGGTTGAACCTGTTGAACAAGGGCTCCAAGTACCTGCTGGAGACTGGAGTCTGATGATGGCAAACGACACTGTTGGGTATCACAATTAACATTTGGATACACACAGGACACCAGTTTAATTGGAAAGATAACCATATGAGAGTCCAGGGTGCAAAATAGATAATGCAGGTAATGCACCTCATGCACATTTATGTCTTTATTTATAGTAACGTGGCTGTGGGGTTGATTGTCGGTTCTTTGTGAGCACCTACTGATGCTGCTCCTGTTTGGTGCTTGTACTGAGTGTACGGTACAGGACTTCTGTCCTAGGTTACTCCAAAAGCTGGTGAGATGAGGATAGGACCCCAGCTTCACCAGACTGGTGGCAAGAAGGGTCCCCAGGCCAGCACAGCCCTCCCAGAGGAGGCTGCACAGGGTTAAATTACAGCGGCCGAGTCTGTTTCCTCCCTTAATTCCACATTGGAGGGTTAATGGCCTTTGTTTGATCTTGGCTTTAATGTTACAGCTCCGTCCCTAGGCCTGTGTGGAGGGAACTGCCTTTGTGCTGTGGGACACTGAACCACTGCCTCTTCCCCATCCTGCTGGAGCACAGCCACCACACCAGAGAGGAGAGGAGAGGGGAGGTGAGAGGTGAGACAGTGCTTGGCATCAATGGGGCAAATGGGGAGGCATCAATGGGGTAAATGGGGAGCTGCCTGCTGGATTTTCAGTCTAATTTACTGTGCACTCAGGAGAAAAAATACAGAAGAGCAATAACGTGTTGCAGATTGGAAGGTCTCAAAGCTGATAATGAGCTGTTAATAAGTGTTATCCTGGATTTTCTGCTGGAAGTAGGCGGGTAATAGACATTTTCTGCAGGATGAGGCTGCAGCCACATCCTGGTGGAGATGAGGGGCTGAATCATGTCCTGATGTCTCAGGGTCAGGGGGTGGGAACTTGGTGAGGAGCTGCAGGAACATCTTTCTCTGGGGCCAGTTGTGGGTTTCCCACGGGATCCCCCACACCTGTGTGCTCCCTGTCACCTCTTGCCCACATGTGTCAGGGGGCTGTGACCCTCCCACTGTGACTGACACCATGTGTTTGCCCAGCAGAGAAACATCACCAGCTGGAGATCCTGGGGCTGCCCAGGCCGTGATTTATCCAGATAATGGCCCTTTCCAATTTGTCCAATTTCTTGGATGATGTCGATAACTACAGTGACTACCAGGATTACATCTACGAGGACGTGACCAGTGTGTGGGTAGACCCGTCCCACGACCCGAAGGACATTGCGAGGATCCTCTCTGTCATCATCTACACTGTGTCCTGCGTGCTGGGCATCCTGGGCAACGGCCTTGTCATCGCCATCATCACCCTGAAGATGAAGAAATCAGTCAATGCTGTCTGGTTCCTCAACTTGGCCGTGGCCGACTTCCTCTTCAACATCTTCCTGCCCATAAACATCGCGTACACGGCCATGCGCTACAACTGGATCTTCGGCACGGTCATGTGCAAGCTCAACTCCTTCCTCCTCATCCTCAACATGTACACGAGCGTCCTGCTGCTCACCACCATCAGCTTCGACCGCTACATCTCGGTGGTTTTCCCCGTGTGGTCCCAAAACCACCGCTCGACCAACCTGGCGTATTTAGCGTGTTTGATCATCTGGACCATCGGCATCATCATGAGCTGCCCCTCCCTTGTCTTCCGAGACACGGCACAAACCCGAAATTCCGTGATTTGTTTCAGCAACTTCTCCCTCTCCAGGAACAAGTCTTACCAAGCCCTGGCACTGATGAGGCACCGCACGGTGAACATCACCAGGTTCCTCGGCGGGTACATCCTCCCCATAACCATCATCACTTTCTGCTACATCGCCATCGTCTTCAACCTGCGTCGGAACCGCCTGGCCAAGTCCAAAAAGCCCTTCAAGATCATCGTCACCATTATAGTCACCTTCTTCCTCTGCTGGAGTCCCTACCACCTGCTGAACCTGCTGGAGACAGAGCCGGGCATGGTCCCGCCCTCCGTGTTTGAGGTCGGCATCCCCATCACCACGGCCCTCGCTGCCTCCAACAGCTGCATGAACCCCGTGCTCTACGTCTTCATGGGCCAGGACTTCAAGAAGTTTAAGGTCACCATCTTTTCCAGGCTGGTGAATGCCCTCAGTGAGGAGACAGGCCACTCCAGCATCGTTCACAGGAGCTTCTCCAAGATCTCTTCCATGACTGAGAAGGAGACGACAGTGCTCTAAATTCAACCTGGTGCCTTCAGGGGGGACATAGTCCTCTGGTGTTGGCCATGCCCTCCACTGGGATGCTGGCCACCACTGTAGTGGTCCCTGATGTGGGACAAGCATGGTCCAACACTGTCCTATAGTCTATTCCTTGACTGGCGTTGCTGCCTGGAGGCTAGAAGGGATTGGAGACCACCACTATGTGCAAGTGGAGAAGACACAACCACCCTTAATCTTTGTCATTGCAAAGATTGTTGCACCAAACTATTTAAGGAAACACTTCAGGGTGTTCCTGTCTAACCTTTGCACTCTCTGACCTGGGAAGGGCATTCCTGGTGTTTCCAGAGACATTGTGATGGGGTGGGGGACATGTGTGGGAAGGCACCTCCCGAGATGTGTGCTGGGTGGGCACCACCACAGGTGACACCTGCTATGGCCAAACTGGGGACACTGCTCTCCTATGTCTCTGTTTGGCTACTTGTGTTAAATCCTGAGGTATTTTGGTACAAGTGCAACGTGTTTGTAACTGTTGGGAGCACTTTGCACCCCAGGAGGCCCTGGGAAGTGTCCTCATACCAGCTTTGAATATCCCACCTCGATGAACTGGGAAGTCTCAAATGTCTCCTGAGTGATCCAGACCCAGGGGGTGGGGACTGGGCTCGTGCACAGGGTCACTGATGTGGAAAACTGAGAGAAAAAAGAGGGAAAGATCAATTTGAAGTGTGTTTTGAACAACACTCCCTTTGATGGGCACATTCCACACGGTACATTTTGCAGAGTGATTTGATGTTTGGGACCAGGAGTCCCAGTGATTCCTTGCAAAGGGCCTGATTGGCACCAGGGTATGGGTCCAGGGGCTGGGAATGAGCTCCTGCAAAGGATCTGCTCTCCTCTCCTGCATCCAGATGGCCCTGGGAACTGGCTCCATTGACGGCAGCTCCCTGGTGGGACTGGTTGGTCCTATGGGATGATTTTCTCTCTTCAAACCAGGCAGCAAGCCCATCTTGGGAGACTCTGGGAGTCTCGTGGGAGACTCTGCCGCCACACACCAATCTCTGAGGTGAAGGGTGGGCTGAGCCACTGTCTCCATCCAATTTCACACACAGTTAATCTGGGAGCTCCTTCTCCATTAGGGCTTCTTGACTACGACACCGGTGTCACGCTTATTTATGTGCTGGTTTCTCCGTGTCACCCACAGCCTCTCTCTCCCAGGAAAGTGAGGAGCCCTGGGAGCTGGGTTTGGGCAGCCCCAGTGGCATCAGGGACATTTCAGGAGGTCCCCACAGGAGCTTTGTGCAGGGATTGACATGCTGGCAATTGAAAGTCTGCTCACAGGTGCCCACAAAGGCTGAAATATTTATTTATAGCATTTCTTGAAAATCAGAAAACGGAAAAAAACATGAAGAGGCAGCTCCCAGGCAGAGGCAGAGAGCTATTTACGGGCTCCTGGTGGCAGCAGATCGTGCCAGACAGGTACAAACCGAACCACAAAGCCCCGGTAATTGAGCTGCCGCCCTGAGCTGTGGGAATGCTGCGGATCAGAGCAGATGCTGCAGCGGGAGCTGGATTTCAGAGGGATTATCAGGCATCCCCTCCACCCTGGCACTGCCTCCCTGCTCTGCCTTGATCTGCATAACCTCGTTAGTGTGATGGGGAGAGGGGAACAGCCACACCATAGGAGCTGGATCTATCCTTCCCTGGGATGAGGCTGCCTGCAGCATCCGTGTCTTGGGACAGGGATCCTGATGGATCTGGTGTGTTTGGATGCGGTTTTGGTGCTGCTGATGGTGTGAGTTGTGCTGGGGCAAGTTTGTCCCCGAAGCCAGGGCAGAGGGGTGACCTCCTTCCCACCACTGTGGATCCAGTCTGCTAAAAGTGGGAGATTTATCCTGAAAATTAAGAATATCCTGCCTGAGCCCTGAAGGGAAACGCAGGACGGGATGAGGTTTATAAAGGAAATTAATGGGAAATTAACATAAAATTAGTGACTTCAACAGTTGGATGCTGCTCTCACTATGCAGGGGGCCGTAGGACACGCAGCACCTGGCTCCAGGTGTTTCCATATCTCCTGGGAGCTGGGAATTAGCTGCTTCCCCAGGGAGCAATGCCATATTCTTGGCCCACACCGTGTCCTGTGGTCAAGCCCAGGGCTACTCTCAGCCCAAATCCACATGTTTTTTTCCCCTAAAACCAGTGCACAATCCATAACCATGGCAGATGCTGGAGCAGGGATGCTCCTCACTAATTTTGGTGGCTAGATTTTGCAAGCCCATCTATTATTCCTGCAAACAGCTTTCCAAAAAAAACAGTGACTTGGTACTTAACCTGGGGTTAAATCATCACTATAATGACAGCTTGGGAATCCCAAGTTTCCCAAATGTTTGAGTTCATCCTTGTAGTTGTTTACTTATTTAATAAAAGAATCTGTTTTCCATACAAATACCCTGGTATGTGCTGAAGATCATTACATGGAGTGGGAAGGATCTCAGGGTTTTCCACTGAGCAGTCACTTCCCAGTGTGCATTCCTGATCCCTGCTATTGAATTTGGAATTGTCAAAGTGGTCAGGAGCAGAGGGGTTGCAGGGCTGGGGCTTGAGCGACCGAGATGGGAGTGTGGTGCTCTGAGCCTCTTGGATGGGAAATGTCCCAAAGATGTTCTCCGGGGAATTCCCACTTTAATTTGTCCCTGAAAAGACTAAATGGCCCTTTAGGGGAAAAAAACCCGTGTCTGTGTGTAAAAAGCAGCTGGAAGAGCATAATTTCCCCGTGTCCACATGTGGATCCCTGTTGGATCACATCCAGCAAATGCTCTGTTATTCCAAATTGAATGAGGAATTATTAGTGCCACTGCTGAGTTGGTCCCTGTGTGGGATCTGTCTGTGGGATCTCCCTCCATCCCCCCCAGCAGGGGCTGCTTCTCCATCACCTCCTGTACCCCATGACCCCTCAACTCCCACTCCCCCCAGTCCTCGAGGCTGTTTTGGGGGGACAGGGAAGCAGGGAAGGGGTTGGTTCCTGCTTCCCAATGGGCTCCAGGTGCTCCATCCCAGCATCCACCTGACACCAGCATTGCTGCTCCATCCCCTCCTGCTGCTGGTTCTCCCCATGCTGGCAGGGTTTGGGGTGAGGATGGGGAGAAAAAGGGAAAAATGGACTGAGTTTTCGCAGCTGGACCCTGTAACCTCCCAGATTTTGAAGAAGCCAGGAAATAACGATAAATCCCCAGGGAATATAAGTGATTCCTGTTCCCGTGTCACCCACTGATCCCAGCAAACAGATCACAAAGAGAACATTAAAAATGTGTATATATATATATATATATGTAAACAGGACAAAAATATTCTTCCTAAAACTTCAGCAGCTCAAGCCCCTTCAGCCAGGTTTTTTCTTCCCTTTTTGGCAGAGTGGCAAAGAAAAGCAGCTCAATATTATCCCAGTTCCTCTGATATTGCCTAAATCCTGCAGGAGCAGGAATCTCACAGGGTGCTGGAGATGTATCCTGTCAGCTTTCCATTTTTTTTTTTGCAGTGGTGGTTATTTTGTTCATGGAGGGGAGGGGGCTCAGGTTGCCGTGTTGGTGAAGGGAAGGTCCAATATATTAAACTGAGCATCCTTGGATGCATCCCAGTGACCCTGGTCCCCCTGGGCCGCTCAGATGGAGATGTCCTTAGCTATGAATTAATGAAGTCCTCTATGAATTAACGAAGTGCTCTTGATTAGTGACAGCAGGAGGTTAATGACCAGCTCCAGGGGGACGTGCACAAACTGGAATTAACATCCAGGGAAGGGGCTCAGTGGGGGCTGCAGCTCCAGGGCTGGTGTCCCAGATCTGTGCTGGCCTGAGTGTGACCACCCAGCCCCTTTGGGGGCTGAAATTGGTGAAACTGGTAATTAGGGGTGCAGAGGCTTTAGTATCTCAGAGTTTAGGGGTGAGTGGGATGCAGAGCCACCACCGACCCCGTTAAAGCTGCAATTAAGGCAGCTGTGGGGATCATGAGCTTAGGGTAGGTCAGGGCCTGTGGGGGAAGAGCAGCAGGTTTTGGAGCTGGAACACCAACTCCCATCCCAGGACCCTCATCCCAAGCCCTGAGACTCAAACCTTCAGCCCAGGACTCTCATCCTCATCATAGGACCCCAATCTCCAGGGCCCCCATCCCCAGCCCTGGGACATCCCAGGAACCCCCTGACCCTCAGCCCAGAACCCCCCATTCACAACCCTGTGACCCCCCCATCCCCAACCTCAGATCCTGTTCCCCAGCCATCCCACCCCTCCCTACCCCATGATCCCATGGTGCTGAGGAGCTCAGCACACCCAGACCCCGATGCTTTTGCAGCCCACCAGGAGCCTGGGCAGGACCAGTCCTCACCGTGCACATCCCAAACCTACCTCATACCATGTCCTCTTCCCACCCCTCCAAACCTGGGGCTGGGTCTCATTCCATGTGAGAAATGACTTGGGAATACTCCAATCCCATTTCTGTGGAGCACATTACCGGCCTTAATGACGGCTCTTTTTCACTTGGCTGTCACGGCCCTGAAATAAAGCCATGCTTTACCTCACCCATAAATCACTCCTTTATTTGGAGCTGGAATTAAATTAAAAAAAAAAAAAAAAAGAAATAAACATGTTACCCTCTCCCTTTCCTCAGAGCCAGGCAGGTTGGAGCCATGTTTAAATAATCTCTGCTGTATTCAGGCAGATTGTCAGCTGTAAATTTGGGGGAAAACAGCAAAGCTGATAAATAAGCATGTTGGGTTTATCAGTGATGGATGTTGCTGCTCTCGGATTTATGACACATCTCCCCATTAAGGGGCTTTTGTGACAGTGCTGCTGGGTGGTGCTGCTGAGGGGGGTGATTTCCCTCTCATTTAAACGCGGCAGGAACTTCATGGGATTTAATTTGGGAGGAAGGGGAGCCCCTTCCTTCCGAGCTGCTCTGAGCCCCCCAGCATCGCTGGGGTCATTGCCCAGAACCCCCTGAATTCACCCCAGAGGGGCTTCCACTGCCTTTGATGAGGGAGGGACCCCCAACCTGAGCTGCTCTGGTCATCATCTCCAGAATCATCTCTTGCACCACAAGGACCACTGAGCACAAACCCCCTCCCGGGACTGGGGGCACTGCAGGTGATTCTGGTGCAGCCGCTGTTGCAGGGACCGCTGAGCACAAAACCCGCACAGAACTGGGGGAAATGCAGGCGGTTTTGGTGCAGCCGCCGTTGCCACAGCAACCGCTGAGAAACCCATCCAGCCCAGGAGGGAGGATGCTGCAGCCTCCGCCAGCGCAGGACCGGGAGGGAGGGAAACACTCCCGGGGATGAGAGATTGATGGAAATAGATGATTTTCAGTGCAGGAATCCAGGGAGGGGGGTCAGGATCTCCCCAACCCCAGGTGGGGCAGGGCGAGATGGCTGTGCCCCCCCAGGGATTGCTCAGGGCTCGCTGGGGCTGAGTCAAGCAGAAAGATTCCCTGCTTTTCCAGTCCTCATGGAAAGGCTGAGTGTTGCCTACCCCGGGCTAATGGCATTACAGAGGCAGCCGAGCAGGGAGGCTATTAAATGTCAAGAGCTTTGCACAGGAAAATGATGCAGGAAGGATGGTTGGCTCCTCTTTCCAGGGGGAATGGAGATTTTATTAGTGCGTGCCGGTCCCACGTGGTAAAAATATAACCCGGCATTTAATAAATAAATAAAAATAAATGAGAGCATGAAGCTTCAGCTCTGTGCGTGCAGGGACAGCAGCTCCTGGCAGGAGGGAGAAGCTGCTCCTGCGTCAGTGGAATGGAAGGGAAGGAGGGACCCCCCCTAATCCAGAGGTGCATCCAGATGTGCAGCACACGCTGACAGGGACCTAATGACTTCCAAGTGCTCCATTTCAGTGCAAATTAAATTTAAAAAAAAGCAATTGTGGCGCAATAAAGGCAGGGGTGGGAAAATAAAAGAGGGAAATTGAATCTGCTGGTGCTCAGGGAGCTCCATCAATCCTTTTGCCGTGGGTTGGGAAGGGGTTTGTGGGGGCGGTGGGGCAGATGTGGGGTCCCCCTCCCCACGCCCCTCCTTCTCCTGACAAGCTGCAGCCCAGGCTCTGAGCGCGTTGGCTGCACGCAATGTCAGCTCTTAATTGTTTTATCTCCGAGATTAATTGGCTTTTGGGGTTTAATTATTTCCGAGGGGCGGAAGGGAACGCTGCCCCTTTGGCAGCCACGGCCTGTCAGAACAAATCACGCCTGACGTGTGTCTTCATCACTGCACACCCAGTGCTGCTATAAAAAAAGGGATTTCACCAACTCTTGATCAGAAATAAGGAATAAATTGCACCGAACCCGCTCTTGCTCCAGCGCTGAGGAAGGTTGGGAGGCACCAGGAATAAAGTCTGCAGTGAATCTCCCTGTGGACCCCAACAAACCTGTGCTGAAGGACACTATAAAGGTACTAAAGCTCCCAAGAAGGAGCCCCTTTGGTTGTGTTGTCATTGGTTTAAATACAGAAATCACATTGTTGGGATTAAAGGTGGGGGAGAGGAGTCGTATCCTGTGGGACACCCTGGTCTGGGATGGGTGGGGGGTACTCAGGTGGCCCCACAAACACACGGGGAGGCAGAATAGCAACAAAGTCTCTCCTTTAATAGCTGGATTGACCTGAGGATTTGTTCTGACCGAGGTAAACAGCCCTGGGGCTGCCGTGAGTGAAGGAGCGTGGGCTCAGCTCCATTCCCAAAAAACCTCCAGCCATTTGTCAAGGGAAGAGTTAAAACCAGGGCAGCTGCTCCCTCTGAACACATTCACCTGCCTCCGTGCAAAAGAAACAGGGAGCAGGAGCCCCCCAGCCCGTGTTTGCTCCTCAAGCACATTAGAAAAATATATTTTTATTTAAATTCTCCTTTTTCTCCATGGAATTTTCTTCTCTCTTTAAATATAGATCGAGTGGTGTGTCTCGATTTGACCTGTGCCTGTGTTTCTATCAAGATCAAGAGTTAAAAGCCAATTGTTCAACATCTAATCTAGAAAAGGCTGCGTACAATATATGGCTTTTGCACCTACATCCAAAGGGAACTCACAGGTTGGGAATATTGGGGAGCTTGTTTGGGGCAAAGCCAGGACAGGGACAGGCTGGGAGGGCAGCGTGGGATGAGGGGATGGCTGGGGATCACATGCAGCTCTGCACAAAGCCAGCCTGGAAACGGCACCTTCCTGTGCCCACGGGATCCTTTGGTTTGGGTTGGGGCTCAGGGGGGCTCAGCCCCCCCAAAGCTCAGCCCCAGGGTTTGCTCCCCACTGCAGCTCCTGGCCCCCAAAACTGCTGCTGGGGGGCTGTTCTGGCTCATGAGCTCCTGAAATGAGGCACAGATGAGCTCCTGGGTTGCAAAAGCTCTTCTGTCCAGGGCCAACGTCCCCCTCTTGAGCATCATCCCCATGGAGGGGGGACATCCCACCTGTAGCCACCCAGGTGGGGGTCATGGACTCCTCCAGGGCTGGACCAGCGATGTTGCCTGGTTCTAGGGCAGCACTGGGGAATGCAGCCTTGCTCCAGGGAGCCAAGGGCTGGCTCATGGGGGCACAGCCACCTTGTTTGGGGACATTACTCTCCCCAGCACAGCCTTCCTGATTCCCATCTGGAATGATGGGATCCGTGGAAGCAACACCCACACAATACCACCCCTTGGCCTAAGGCTGATGGATTCCATCCAGGGACAAGCAGATGCCTCCCAGGGCTGGCCATGGAGTGAGGGGAGTTTGGGGATACCCACCCCTGGGAGCTCAGCTCCAGTGGCACCGGGTCTGTCAGGCACAGCCTGTGTCCCTGAGCCAGCCCAAGGAGACCACAAACAACCCAGGGCACTTCCAAGGACCACAGATAAAACCCATTGCACTTCCAAGGAGGGCTGTGGCAGCCAGAACAGGAGTGGGATGGAGCAGGAACCCTGTGGTGGTGAAGGCACCCGTGTCCCCTCGGCGCTGCCGCCTTGCCGGGGTCTGTGATGGCCAAACAAGCTCAGCACTGGCTGGGGACCACTCGTCGCTCATGCAGGGAGTTGATCAACAGCTATAGCAGCAGATGGAGAATTAAAAGCAGAGCCACCCACTGGGTGGAATTAGGCAGAGGCCGGGAGCAGGGTCAGGTCCCCCCGCCATCATCACCATCATCTCGGGTAATAATCGTCCGGGACTCCCGACAGGTTCCGGAGCTTCAGAGCCGTGTCCACTGTTTTGATGTAGCCACTGATCATCTTCCTCATCTCGGGGGTGTAGGGGTCATACTCCAGTTTCCTCAAGCCGGATCGCTTGAAGTTGCCGTCCTTCTGGCCCTCGACGCAGAGCAGCCTGTCCTCGCAGGCAGTGATGCCCAGCAGCCCCACCATCCGCTGTAGCTGCACGAAGAGGTCCCGTTTCAGGTCCTCAAAGTGCACCACCAGCACCTTCTTGCCATAGCGCAGCCAGTCGAGGGTGTGGGTCGCCCACCACGGCGCGTAGTTGGCCACGAACTCTGGCCACTCTGGAAAGAAGGAGCAGAGGACACAGTGGGTGGGTGGGTGTGCTCTGTGCCCTCCCACACCCCTGCTGAGATCTCTCAGCTATCCTGCTGGCTAATTGATCCTCCCATAGAAACCTGGTGGTAAAAGGGGTAAGGAAACATCAATAATGAGCCACAACTCTCCTGATGGTGCCGCACAGACCCATCCACAACACATAAAAGCTCTGGACATCGGCCTCTTCCTCGTGTCCTTGCCACAAAACCAGTGCCTGGTTAATTGCTGAGCTGAGTTTAATTCCCTGAGGAATCATTAAACACAGGATCTGTTTCATTAAGCAGATCCAGGACAATTCACCTTGTGTAATCATATCACATAAAACTTTGCTTTGGAACCGCTCCAGGGATATCGTAAAATTAACGTCATGGAACCAAACAGGAGTTTGGCCTCTGCAGGGCTGGGAATGGGGGGGAAGGAAATCCCCCCTCCCTGCACCAGCACCTGGGGGTGAGGCTGGAGAGAGGTCATGGTGCTTTTTTTCCCAAATTTGCCCCCAAATTAGTTCTTGAAAGAAGGAAATTATTTGGAGAGCTGGGCTGCAGGGAAGACTGCAGATGGGACCCTCCTCCTCCATGGCCAAGTCTAGCCAGGCTGAGCCCAGATGGGATCAGCAAAATGGGGCTCACCAACCAAACAATGGAAGATCTCCATCTTTCCCAGCAAGTTCTGACAATTAACCTAGTTATGCTGTACATCCTCCAGAAAGAATTTGGTGATGTATTTTGTTGCACATTCAAATGGAATGGTGCTGGGCAGAGGGAATGGTCCCCTCTCTGCCTGGCCTGCCCCTCCCCTTGGAGGCATGAGGCATGGGACAGGCTGGGGAGGGAGTTGGGATTGGATGAGTCAGGATGGTCCCTGTGGTGCTGGAGTGATGGTCCCACATCCCCTCTCCAGCTCTATGTGCAGTTGGATAGGGATAAAATCCACCAAGAGGCTCCTGGCCCACCATGGTGGGGCAATGGCAGCCCAGGGACTTTCGCAGGGAGACAAGGATTGGGGGATATCACTCCCTCCTGGTTTTATGGGATAGGGAGAGCAGGGCTGGGCTGTCTCTGGCTCTGTGAGCACATGGAGATAACGAAATCCAGACACAAAACAGCCACAGCAGCAAAAGCTCCCCTTAAATAAACTCAGAATTAAGGGTAGCAGATGTTCAATCAAGCTAAATATTTTAACTCTTTCCAATGAAGTCAATCCCACAACAGCAATTTGTAAATTGCTGTAATTAACCAGCCTGCACAACATGCCTGTGCATGGGAAAGGTGGTGGCTCTGGAGCAGCCGGGCACACGGAAATCCCACCCGGATACCGCCTTGCCCATAGGGATGGGCTTGTGACAGCCACCACTCCCTCTGATGACACTGGGGACAGGAGATGCCCATCCCTGCTCTGGGCAGCGTGGTCCTGCTGTTCCATCCCATCGTGTCCCGTCCCATCCCACCCCATTCTAATCTGTTCCATCCCATTGAACCCATCCTACCCCATTCTAATGCATTCCATCCCATCCCATCCTGTCCCACCCCATTCTAATCCATTCCATCCCACCTCATCCCACCCCATCCCACCCAGCGCGGAAGCCCTCGACCACGCAAGATGATGCTGTGGGTCATGTCAGGAGATGGACATGGTGACCCCAAAGTGATGGCACAGCCCAGGATTCCCCAGTGGAGACCCAACTTCCCAGCTCTGGTGGCCAGGCTGGAGCTCTCCCATCAGATCCCAACCCCTGGCCTACCTTTGCCCTTCCAGTGGGCGTGAGCGGCGAAGCCGATGTGTCCCCCGTACTTGCGGTTGAACTCAGCCATCAGGGCCTTGTAGGGGTTCCTGATGAGCAGGATGGCAGAGTCGAAGGACTCGATCTCCTTCTGGCCACTCTCGTGGGTCTTGATGCAAATCGTCCTCCCGCTGCGCCAGTGGTCCCGCTCGCCCTTGAATCCTGCCGGGACAGAGCCCAGTGGGAATAATAAAAGGGAGCTGGGAGGGCTCAGCCTGGACAAAAGGAGACTCAGGGGGGACCTTGTTGCTCTCCACAGTTCCCTGGGAGGAGGGTGGAGCCAGGTGGGACTCGATCTCTTCTCCCAGGTAACAAGCGATAGGACAAGAGGAAACAGCCCCAAGTTGTGCCAGGGGAGGTTCAGGTTGGATATTAGGAAAAATTCCTTCATGGAGAGGGATGTCCAGCCCTTCACAGGCTGCCCAGGGCAGTGATGGTGTCACCATCCCTGGAGGGATTTAAAAGCCATGTGGATGTGGCACTTGGGGACATGGGTTAGTGGTGGCCTTGGCAGTGCTGGGGGAATGGTTGGACTCGATGATCTCAAGTCCTCTCCAACCCAAATGATTCCAGGATTCTGTGAAAGGGAACGACTCAGAGATATCAGGTTGCAAAGTACAGTTGGATAAAAGCAGCTGGGGCGTGAAGGAGGATTTACATCCCTCTCCCAGATGGAAATCATTCATTTGCCCAAGTTATGAGTCACATAAAATTCATGAGAGGGTGGGTACCAGCACAGGGGCTGCTCAGAGCTGCATCTCCCTGGCCATGCTCAGCTCTTGTGCTTGTTTTGGGGGGTCAAGAACATATTTTATAGCTATAATCTCCCTGACCACAGCGTTTAAACTCTCCCATTAAACTAAGAAGGGGGAAACCCCCCCTTTTTGTGGGGCTGTGGAGGAGCCCAGGGCTGTGGTGATGCCATGAGGGGTCCAGAGAGGGGACCACCACCCCCTGTACCCTGCATGGAGCATCAGGGCTGAGTCCAGCATCCCTCCCAATCCTTGCAAAGCACAACCACCTGGAGCAGAGCCAAAGGGGAGATGAGCTGGAAGGAGCTGTATGACATCAATTATAGAAGTGTAATTTGCTCTGGGCTGTGCCGGGCGACGCGGGGCTGTGCTGGTTGACCTGCCAGTTGCCTGGATACCTCCCAGCCCCTCTGACACGGAATTAACACATAACCTACACTTGGGTGGGTGAGCAAAACCCAGCCAAGGCTTTTTCCCAGGGTTGCTCCGCTCCCTGAGATGTGGCTGCACCCAGGACTGAATGCCAGGGGCTGGAACAGTCTGCGCTCCCTCAATCAGGGCTGAGTATTTCCATCTCTGGAAGGCTGGGTTTGGCAAATTCAAAGGAATTCCTGTGGTGTTGGGCAAACAGAGGTTTAAGGGGTACCCCAACAGCTCTGTGAGTACCCCAGGCACAGATCCCAGCTTCACCACAGCCAAGGAGGAGCAGAGGATTTCTTCTCAAAGGTGCAGGAAGGGGAGAAGGAGCGAGAGAAATCTTCAAGGTCCACAAATAAAACTGTTGTAAAAGGCTATAAAATGGGGGAACTGGTGTTTTTCCTTCCCCTTGCAATGAAGTGGGTTATCACAACCCCAGAATCCCAAAATGGTTTGGGTTGGAAGGAACCTTACAGCTTTCATTCCAACCCTCTTGGAAAGGAACATCTTCCACTAGACCAGGTTGCTCCAAGCCCCGTCCAACCTGGCCTGGAACACTTCCAGGGATGGGGCAGCCACAGCTTCTCTGGGCAACCCTTGTCAGGGCCTCACCACCCTCACAATTTCCTCCTAATATCTGACCAGGACACCCTCAGTCCAACCATCCCATGGAGCAGCATCGCTCACACCCTTCCTGCAGACCCACGGGATGTCACCAAGACCTTTCCCAGCTCAGATGGGACTGGTGCACTCCCAGCAATGACACCCCCCCCCCTCACCTTTGTTGTAGAGAGACCCATCAAAGTAGTAGCTGCCGGTGTAGAAGCCGGTGGCCAACTCGATCAGGTGCCGTGCCCAGGTGTTGCCAGCTCCAGGGAAGCTGGCCAGGGCCACCAGCTGCTTGGCTCGGCTGGGGAGAAACCTCCTGTCCATGCAACGGTTGTCTGCAGTGAGAATCAGTCATGGCACATCAGGAATGTGTCATGGAAACATGGTTTTCCTATAGGGATGTCCCACTGCCTCCCGGGAGGATGGAGGAGCAGCAGTGAGGAGGCGGATGCTACAAGGAAAGGTGCCCTGCCCAAAGCACACAGGGACATCCCAAAAGGTCCTGAACACCTCAAGGAGTCCTAAACACCCCAAAAAGTCCCAAGGAGAAGATAGTTCTCTGCCATTACCAGCTCCTTGCTGCCTGCATCCTTAGAGAAGAGTGAGTAACAGGGATGCGTGTGCCTAGCAACGTTCCTGCTTTTTATATGGATGAATGAACGAACATTTCCAGCATGGCCTCAAACACTGAAGGCAGGATCGTGACAAGACTGACCTGCTCTGAACCAAAACCACCTGAATTTGGGTCCTCACTTACTCCCTTCAGCCCTTTCCTCTCCCAGTAAAAGTTTTCCCCTTTCCCTGTGCTTCCCTGTCTCCATGGTCCCAATGCCAGAGGACAGGAGCCCTCTCTGTGCAGCATCCTGGGAAATTTCTGCCTGGTTACAGTTTTTTTCCCCCCCATATTATTCCCTGGAGCTCATCCCCTCTGGATGGTGAACCCTCTGTGGGTTCACCAGCCGGTGCCAAGGAGATGGGAAAAGCCCTGGCAAGGAGGGATCCTGCCAGAGGCAGATGGAAAACTGCTCTTCCCTGCAGCTGAGTCAGGCAGTAACTACAGCTGTTTGTTCAGGGGAGGACCGATTTCCCAGGAAATTCAAAGAAATGTTAATTTTTAATGGAAGATGCTGCGAGCTCACACTCACTTTCCTCCAGCATTCCCAGGAAGGGAGTGGGAAAAGGGTGCTGGAGTGGTCCCTGCCTGTCCCAGCTCACCTTGCACCTGGGTCTGGTAGACCAGGAGGAAGTCGGTGGTGCCGCAGCTCTCAAACTCCTCCCCGGGGCACTTCTGGGCACAGAGCTGCTCGTCCTCGCGCTCGTGCAGCGGGAACAGCGTCGTGGGGAATCCGCAGTGGCACGAGGTCCCTGCCAGGGCCGACAGCGGGTATTCCTGCAGGGATGGGCACATGGAGGGCAGCCAGTGGCACTGCCCCTGTTCCCCATGGCAGATCCTTCCTCTGCCCCTCATACCTGTCCTCGCTGACCTGGTCCCACTGTGCGGTGCGGGCTGGTTTGCAGCATCATTCCAGCCCATTCCAGCCTCCTTCAAGGCCATTCCAGCATCCTTCCAGCATCATTCCAGGCCATTCTAGCATCCCTCCAGGCCACTCCAGCATCATTCCACCACCCTTCCAGCATCATTCCACCACCCTTCCAGCATCATTCCACCACCCTTCCAGCATCATTCCAGCACCCTTCCAGCATCATTCCAGCACCCTTCCAGCATCATTCCAGCACATTCCATCATCCTTCAAGCATCATTCCAGCATCCTTCCAGCACCCTTCCAGCATCATTCCAGCATCCTTACAGCACCCTTACAGCCCATTCCACTGTCCTTCAAGCCCATTCCAGCACCCTTCAATCATCATTCCAGCACCCTTCAAGCATCATTTCAGCATCCTTCTAGCTCACTCCAGCCCTTTCCAGCACCCTTTCAACATCCTTCCAGCATCTTTGCCCCGGTACCTTCTCAGTGCAGAAGTCCACACACTTGTCCACAGACATGTTGAGCATGAGCTGGCTGGCGGGCAGGGCGATGGACACGTTGTCCGGCCGGCGGAAGCACCCTCGGAATATGGCACTGCCATCTGCGAGGGAGAGAGGCCACAGTGACCCTGGCACCACTGCCCCCCAAAAATGACACCACCACACCCCAAAAATGACATCACTGCACTCCAAAATGGCACCGCTGCCACCCTGTGTGCCCCCAGGCTCGGGAGCAGGAGCCTCTGCGTGACACAGCATTCCCGTCTCCCGCCGCTCCATCGGCTTTTCCCCGGCTCCCGGCCCCCTCCGGCGGTGCAGCCGCGTTGGCTGACGCGCTCGCCCGGCTGCTTACGGTGCAAAATCAGAGCAAAACCCCGGCAGCAAAGTCGGGTTTATTTTTGCTTCACTATTTTTATCAACTCGGTGATCCCGGGCTGCAGGAGGGGTGGAAACAGCGAGGACTGCAGGACTGGGGCTGGGCTGGTCCCTCCGGGATCCGTGCCCTGAGGGGTCCCATCCCACCACTCCCGGTACCTGGGCAACCTCAGCCCCACTGCGGATTCCTGGTGATGGGAGCTCTAATTGCTCCACCCTCTTTCCCACTGTTTGGGAATGAGGAAAGACAAGCAGCAAATGTGGGTAATTATAGAGCTGCCTAATTGGGAGCTAAACGAGCTACTCTGACAGGGAGCACCCTCGGCTCTGTCTAGAGCTCCGGCACATCCTTCGTCCTGCAGCACACACTGAATGCACTGATGGTCAGGAAAGAGATCGTGTCCTGAAGTCCCCCAAAATGCCCTGAATTTCCGCTGGGGTCCTTGGAGTTCCCTGTTCCAACCTGCCCCATCCAGCATTCCTCACAGGGGGATTCCTGTGGTTTGCAGGAGCAAAAACACCCCCCCCAGACCTGAACCTCTCTCAAACCACTTCTACCGAGCCACGACCCGGCTTACACGGCACAGGGATGTCAGGATCACCCCTCCAGCACCGCGAGGGGTTCTCCCATTCCAGGGCTGAGCCAGGAGCTGTGTGGATGCCACTGACTTACATCTCCTGGCGGATTCCTGGGCCAGCTCCAGGCGGTAGATGGAGAGGCGGTTGATCCCACCACAGGTGTTGCTCCGCTCCCCCTTGCACTCCATGTTACACTCGGACTCGCTGGCGTTCGACGCCTGGATCTTGTGCCCACAGTAGCACTCGGCGCCAAATTCCAGTCCTGCATAGAGGTACCCCCTGTGGAGAGGGAGATGGGGGGCTCAGACATTCCTGGGATACCTCCTGTGGAGAGGGGGACAGGGGACTCCCTGGGGATTTTGAAGGAGCATCTGTGACACAACCGGCTCATGGCCAGTGGTGGAAGCAGCGCTGCATCCCAAGGGTTCATTTTTGGGCTAGTGATTATTGTAGGGCCCTTCCAACTGAAAATATCCTATCCTATCATATCCTATCCTATCCTGTTATTCAATCCTATCATATCTTATTCCAATCCATCCCATCCTATCTTATTATTACATTGCATTCTGTGTGCCGGGAATGACAGAGATGGTGTACAAGGATTCATGGAGATGGTGTGCAGGGATTGACAGAGATGTTGTGCAGGGATTGATGGACATGTTGTGTAGGGATTCATGGAGAAGGTGTGCAGGGATTCCTGGAGACACTGTGCCCTGCCCTACCGCTCGGCACAGTTGTCCTGGCAACGGAAGACTGTCATCTTCTTGTAGTCGAAGAAGGACATCCCACGCAGGGTCCGCTGGCGAGTGTTGTCCACGTAGCAGCCGATGTATCGCGCTGGGGGTGGAGAGAGGAGAGGGGGGTAAGAACCCACTGGGGCTGAGCCCACCCATTCCCACCTCCTCTTGATTATTCCCTAAATAGGGATGTGCCGCATTGTACCCTGTTTGTTTGCTTTGGAAACATGTGCTCTGGGTACAACAAACAGGGAAAGGTGTCTAATGCCCAGGAACACCCTCATGGATAGAAGGAATCCTGTGGCTCTGCACTGAGGGTTCTCCTCTTCCTCCTTTTCCTCCACATTAGCCTCCAAGCTGAGCAAAGCTGCTCCAAAAGATGAGCTACATAGGAAAATAACCCATCCCCTTCACCCTGCCCTGCTGGGAGCACAGGGCTGGGCAGAATGGAGAAATATCATTTAACACACATTTTCCTCAACCAGCGGCTCATTTTCCCCAGCCCCAGCCTGGGAGCAGAGGATGTTTGTCCAGCACTGACACTTGGCAAAGTAAAGGCTGATGCCTGTGCTGAGAGTAAATGAAGATGCCAGGAGAGAGGGAATAGAGCTGAATGAAGTCACACTAAAATCATTTACTTGACAAATGTAGCCTTTCCCAATAACCTGAGCACAAAGAGCCATCTCCTGCATGCCTGCGGCGACGTTCCGTGCCGGCTGTAGGCTCTTGTTAGGAGTGAGATGGTCCACGAGCTGTCCCTGCTCAGCCTCCTCGTTAGGTGCCCTCATTAGCACCCTCGTTAGTGCCCTGCTCCTGCTCCCACCCGAGTGTTTGCTGCGAGGAGATGCCTTAGATCAATGCAGGGATGTGGAGCTGGACCAGGGATGCTCAGCGTCCTCACTGCCACTGCTGCTCCAGGAGAACGGGGTATGGGAGCTGTGGGACGAGCCATCAGTAATCAGCTAATGAGGTGTCCATTAACATGTTCTGGCAGAGGTTGTTCAGCCAGACACCCAGTGGGTGCTCCAGGGAGAGCTTAGGGCAGCACTTGGGACCAGTGGCTGGGTCTTACTGGCCCAGCAGTGATGGCAGAACTGGTGTGGAAGCCCAAACCAGTCTGGTTCACCTCACTCCCTGTTCCAGGTGTGCAACCTCAGTGAATATAACAGCAATAATTAACTTTTTATTCCACTATCCCAGATTGCTCCAAGCCCCATCCACCCTGGCCTTGGACACTTCCAGGGATGGGGCAGCTACAGCTTCTCTGGACAACCTGTGCCAGGGCCTCACCACCCTCACAGGGAATTATTTGTTCCATATATCTAATCTGTGCCACTCCAATTCGAAATCACACTGTGGGATAATACTTTTCACCTCCTCCCTGCATTCCACATCTGACCCAGCTCACCAAGCACACCCCATCCATGGCGTGCCCCACACAGCCCCCCCCATTCCCCACCAGTGCTACAATAGCCTTCCCAAGCCAGCCTGGGGGAAGGTGGAGGAGGAAGACAGAGAGAAATGTGTCTGATAACTTTAACCACCAGGGCCATAACTCATTGCTCCCAATTACTCCCAGCAGAACGTGGCATTTCCTCAGGGCTGGGCAGGTTTTGGCTGGTCAGCGCATTCCAGCCCTGACAGATCCAGCGGGGGCAGGATTTCTCCAGTCACTTGCACCGAGCTTGTGACTGATGTGCATTACCTTCAATCCATTGCTCTTGACATATGTGTGCTGTTACTTATTGGGAAGCCAACCGGAATAATTAGGGACATAAGAGGGCAGAAGTGAAGGGGTTGATGCTGAGAGGCGGGTGGTGGGTTCAGCACAGCTTGCAAGGAGAGGGGGGGCTGCCCCAGCACGCGGCTCACATGGAATCAGGAAGAATTTTGGAGCACGTTGGAAACAAGGGTGTGAACAGACAGATTAGCACAGCAATTGTCATTAAATTCTCCAAACATCCCACTCTTCCAGGAGCTAGGGATATAGGGATGGCTCTGGCTGCGTGCCTGGAGTGTCTGCTCCCCCTTTCCTCATGGCATTGCTTGGTTGTGTGTCATAGCTGGGAATGGCTGGAAATGTCCAGTAAAAGACAGGGATGGATGTGGCTGAGGGCTGGGGACAGTGTCTGCTTCCCCTGCCTCACTGCCTCGAAATTCTCCCGGGTTTGAGGCAGGAGATGCACATTCCCACAGGAATGCTCCTTCCCATGGGGAAGCAGGTGAGCTGAAGCCATTCCCTGGCAGGCCTGACGCTGCCGGCAGAGGGAGGAGGAGGAAGAGGAGGAGGAGGAGGAAGAAGGGAGCCGCACATCACACTCAGGAAAGCAGAGCTGACTTTCGGAGCCGTATTCCCTCTGGAACAATCTCACGTGGCAGAGCCTCCACAGCCGCCTTGTTAAGCTGTCCCCTGCCTAATTACCAGCACCATTAAATCCGCCTGCTCCTGCCAGATATCCCGGTGCTTTGGAGAAGAGCAGGGGAGCGAGGGGGTGCTCAGCCCATCCCCTGAGGCTCCCCCAGCCCTGCTGGCACACCAGGCACAGCAGGCACGTGGGATTTCTCAAGTCGTAGAATTTCTCCACACCATCCTGCTCGGGAGCTGCCGAGATGCTCATGGAATGATTAAAAAGGGGGAAATGATGTTTCTAGACCACATGGGAGCAGCTAAACCTGTTGAAGCTCAGCCCTGCATCCCGTCACTGTCCCCTGTGGTGGGGCACAGGAGGTGGCGGTGCCAGACGGGGTCAATTGTGGAGGACACGGTGCATATGGCCTGGACTGGAGCCTGCTTGGGGTCCTTATGGTGTCTGACAGCTCAGGGACCATCTGCTTGGGATTCACTAAATGTCAATTTGCATTAAGAGTGACGTGACCACTGAAATGCCCCCGGAGACCCCTCGACACAGGGATACAAAAGGGGAACCATCTTCAGCTCGTTTTAGCAGGAGAAAGTCCTGCAAGATATTTTTACTTTGGTTTCCAAGCCTGGATCATGCATGGAGGATTTTACCTGCTGTGGGGCTGGTGACTGAGGAGGAGCACCTCATGCCCTGGAATCAGCCCAGGTTGGGGGGGACCAAGCCTGGACCCTTGTGAAACCACGGGGTTGGGGGTTCCTGCTTCCCTCCATCCACACCTCCTGCCCCACCAACAGTCCAGAAAGCTGAATCTCCCAGCCTGGGATGCTCAGAGAATTGTAAGTGCCCAGCCCATGAGGCAACTCTGGAGCAAGCCTGGATTTGGGGTGTGGACTGGTGCAACCATTACAGGAATTAGGGGTCTCCATGGATATGCATTCCCACACCCTGCACCTTGGGAGAGGGGAATGAGATGGTCCTTCCCCAGTGGGGCTGCAGAGCAGAGAGGGGACACAGGGGGTGTTTGGGTGACTGGCACTGGGTGCTCATGGGTGCCAGAGGGCTGGATAACCTCAGGGATGCCAAACCTGACAGGATGGCAGCTCCCAGCCACCCGAATTCCATGGGAGTGTGCAGCTCCAGCTGTGTACGGCTGCCTGCAGGATAAATAGATGGCATTTTAAAAATCGATGGGAACGACTACATTCGCTTATCCTTGGTCATTAATAATGGACCCACTTGACAACACCTCAGACACCACAGGCAGCAGCCAGGCAGGGATCTCCTGACTCCAGAGTCCAAATCCCAGCCCTGTTTGCACTTGCATGCCTGCATGGGAATCACAGCCAACCTCTGCCTTGACACCCCAACAGTGCAAACAGCCCATAAATCTGGTGTTTGTGTTCATTAGAGCCAACACAATGAAAATCAAATTTGGCCTCTGGCACAGCCAAAGATGGGAGGAAGGTGGGGTGAAGCACCCCCTCAGCTGGCACCCCCAAAAAGCAAGGGGCAACTTGGAGCTTGGTAATGCACGAGGGGGAAAGAGTGAAGATGGAAAAATAAAAGTGGATTATTGGCACTTGGGAAGAGAGGGAAGGAGGAAGAAGATCCTTCTGGAAACATCCTCTGGACTGGTGGTCTCCAAAGTGAGGTGCTGCACCCCAGGGAGCCCCTTGGGATGTGGGGGGAAAACCTCAGCGCTCGAATAGCACATGCACATAGTTTATAAATAAATACACAATTCCTGGTGGTGCGTCCTCAGGAATGTGTTCCTGGCAGGCATACACAGCCAAACCAGCTCAGTGACCACTGCCCCGGCTCATGATGTTCCCTTAGGAAAGGCAAAAAGAAGGGACCACCCCCCCCACACGTGTGTCCCCAGCCCTTACCTCTGTCCTCCTCCTTCTCGCGGCCGCTCCTGCCCCTGAGTGCCCGGCTCCGGGTGCCGCCGTTGTCCCTGGCTTTTCCCCTCTCCGCCGGTTCCTTGGAGGTGCTTTTGAACCAGGGGCCGTGTCGCCGGACCCTCCCCGGGATCGTGGCCGCTGCCTTGAAGCCGCGGCTCAGCTGCATCACCCCCAGGTAGGGCAGCCCCGGCCCCTCGCCCCCCGCGGGGCTGCGGGGGCTCCCCGGGACCGTGGGCTCCCCGGAAAAGCCAGAGTGCAGGAAAACCAAGCTGCCGGCCGCCAGGTACAGAGCCAGCAGCGTGAAGAACCTCACGGGTTTCCGCCGAAAGTACCGCTGGAGTTTTAGTAATAGCTTGGCCATAGCGTCTTCATCCCTCCCCCGGCAGCCGGCGCCGCGGGGAAGCTGCTCTTCGGCCCCAGGGACGCTCCAAGGGGGGCTTCACCCCCTCTGGATTGGTGCTGGATCCTAGGGAGCAGATGGGTGCCCCGAAATCACAGTGAGGGCTGCAGGGTGAGGCCGTGCAAAGCTACTGCCCGAGTCTAAAAAGTCCTGGAGTGCTGGGAAAGGTGGTTTTTGAGCCCCCTCGTCGTGCCCGGGGCTTTTCCAGCGCTGGCTGTCACCGGGTTATTCTCCTCCCGGCAAAGCCCCCCGGCTGTGCCTCGGAGACTGGGCCGATGGAGGGATCATGTTGAGGAAATCGAGGTTTGAAGGTGATTTGAAAGCCGATCGGTTGCCGCAGCTTCTCGTTCGCCGGAGGCACCGGCTCCGTCAGGCATCGCTCTAATGGGAACGGCACCGCTGCCCTTTCAGACAAAGAATGAGAAGTCCCTGGACGCGTCTGGAGCCTGGAATGCTGACTGGGACCCTTTGTCTAAGGGAGCCCCATTCAGCTCACTCCCAGGGCAAGAAATCTCCACCTGCAAGTCAAACAGAGAGAGGCACGCTCAGGAAAGTGTCCCAGGACACACAGGGGGAGGATGGCGGTCCCTCCCCCTCTGTGAGGTGAGGAAGGACACCCAGGCTCTCCATTGCCTTCCAGCCCTGGAAAGGGGCATTTCCACCTCCCCCAGACAGGTAACTGGGTGCAGTGGGAGCGATGGGTACAGGGTTGTGGGGTTGAACTCAAACCACAGAGCCCACAGGTCTCTGCCTTGTTGTGCAGGAGAGGAGCTCCAGGACAGCTCTGGGACATGTGCAGAATTCCCAGTTTCACCCACAGGAGGATGAGCTCTGCACCCACACTCACGCACATGCACATTTCACCCCTAGATCCAAACATCTCTTCACCAGCACTCCAAGTGAAATCCATGGATGGACAACAGGGTAGGAGGATGCTGCCAGTGGATTCTCCGGCACCTGGCATCCCAGGGCTGGGAGATCCCATGGGAGCATGACATCCATGTGTGACTCTCCCTGTGCCTGTGTTTCAGCCCCTCATGCCCCCAGTGAGGCTTTTGCCATGACATCCTCTGTCCTCCAGCCAGGACCATCTCCATTCCCACCCTGCCAGCTGGGGTGGACCCCCCACTGCCCTGGGAACACCAGGGCTACCCAGGGCCATCCCTGGTGGCTCTTGGCACAGGAAGGACAGGCAAGCCCAGGGAAGGGACAATCTCCTCCAGCCCAGCCAGGCTGGACTTCCCTTATGGGAATCCTCATGGGATTTCTCCAGCTATGAGATTCCTCTGTATTTTTCCCCCAGCTATGGAAAATTTGCTCCATTCCTTCCTGGGATAACACCACATGGGAAACAGCAGTGCCACCACATCCTGCTGACACATCAGTGTGCCAGGGATGGTCTCATGCCCGGGGTGTGCTGCCTGTCACGGTCTCATCTTATTTTAGGAAAGGAGACGGAAATAAATGGAAAGACAAAGTACCATTAGTTTAATGGCCTCCGTGTTCCTGCCATCTGTCTTCAGTTGATTAAATAAAAAATATTGGTGGAACATATGGCATCAATATTTTAATCTGGGTTCCCACAGTGGTTATTCAAATACCTCTGGTTCTGCCTGGTGAACTCGGTGGAGCTCAGGGCCAGGCAGGGGCTGAGCAGTGGTGGACACAAACCCACACCACCCACTCCCTTGGAGCCAAAACGGCCTGAGTAAAGGCTGAGGAAACTCAGAGTGGCAGCCCAGCAAGGAGATTGGCATTTGGGCTTTTCCATGTGTAGGTACCTCTGTGCAGGACACAGGAACAGGTGGTACCTTGACATGGGCAGGGAGGGTGGTCCAGCCCCACCACAGAGGGCAAACATCCCCAGCCCAGTGGTTCAGCGGACCTGAGGGTGCTTGGCCCTGGACAGGAATCTTACAGCTTCCCCTTCCATGCCAGAACAAACCCACCTGCTGGAGCTGAACGTGAGGTGGTTTGGAGTGCAAACAGGATGTCTGGGGGGTTGTCCCCACTCCCCAGTGTTCCCACTGCCACCCACCCTCCTCCCCTCCCAGGCTGGAGCCTGCCAGGCTCGGCAAGGAAGAGCAGCATATAAAGAAGGAGCTTAAATGACTCTCCTTAAGCATCTGGAGCTCATCCTTCTCCATCATGAACCGTGGAGTCGCAGGTCAATTACTGCACATTTGCATATATTCCATTAATGCTCCTGCTAATTGTCTGTGGGAGATAATGGGCTCGGCTCCGACTCTTCGGCTGCCTCACAGGCAGTGAGGGTGGCAAATACAGCCGGCACCAGTGCTCCCAGTATCACCATCAACACTCCCAGTGTCAGCACCAGCACTCCCCAGATTGGCACCAGTGCTCCCAGTGTCAGCATCAGTGCTCCCAGTATCGGCACTGATGCTCCCAGTATCAACAACAGTGCTCCCAGTATCGGCACCAGCAGTCCCAGTATTATCATCAACGCTCCCAATATTGGCACTAACACTCCCAGTGTCAGCAACAGCGCTCCCAGTATGGGCACCAGCACTCCCAATATCAGTGTTAATGCTCCCAGGGTCATCATCAATGCTCCCAGTATCAGCACCAATGCTCCCAATATCAGCACCAACGCTCCCAGTACTGGCATCAATCCCAGAAGGGGTTGGGCATATTGGGAGCTGATGGATGTGGATGTTGGAAGCTCCCCACAACATCACTCCCTGCCTCCCACCTGCGCTCCCTGTGTTGTAGGGGTGGATCCATCCCTGAGTGCAGCAGCTTTTGGGTGAAGGACCAGCCACTCTGGGTCCCCATCACCACTGTCACCTGTCACAGGGAGTGTCCCCAGGGGTTCCATCCTGTCCCCCACTGCCTGCATCCCACTCAGGCTGTGTTGGGGAGCAGCGCTGGTGCCAGCCCAGCCCGTGGCATGGCTGGGGGACAGTGGTGACACACTTTGGCATCCAAACTAATGAAGCAAACGGGGACATTCCTGAGCCAGCACAGCGCAATGTCCTCAGCGTGGCCTTCCATCGGCTGCTGCAAAGGCTGTCTGGAAAACTGCTGGGACAGCCAGGCCAGGGAGGGAGGGATTTATTCCCAAGCCCTCACTTGATTGTGACCCTCTGTCCCTGTCATGGGGCTCTGGTTGGATCCCACGGGATCGATCCAGCCCCGGGGAATTGTGTGGCTGGAAAAATCTCCCAGCTGGCAATGCCAGGATTGGGGTGTCCCTCCCAGCTGCCCCAGACGCCCTTGGCACCCAGAACCAAAGCACAGCAGAGCTGAGGGTGAACATTTCCCCGGGCAGTGGGTCCAGCCGGGATGAGGGGCTGCTTCCTCGCTGACCCCCATCACCACACTCCTGCCAAGAGCTGGAACCCTCATCCCAGCAGTGGGATAAACAGCTGAGCACTGCTCCACACCCAAATCTTCTTCCCAGCAGTGGGATGCCCAGTTCAGCATCACTCCACACCCAAATCCTCATCCCAGCAGTGAGATACCAGACTGAGCATTGCTCCACGCCCAACCCACCTCCCTCTGCGGTGTCAGCAGTCCTGAGGCCAAGGAGGCAAGGAAATCCTCATGAATTTTCCAGGTTTATCCATCCCTCCCATGCACAGGGAGGTGGGTACAGGTCCAGGGGGGCTCTGATGAGTGAGGGAGCGTCTCTGCCACTGCGAGTGACTGGGATGAGTGAGGCACCAATAAATTATACATTTAGGTCTTGTCTTCAAATTGCTCTGCAATTACTGGGCACCAAGGTTCAGTTGTCTTCAAGCACCACCTCACATCTGACCACAGCCAAACTCGCCGCCGGCTCACGTGGTTCCCCCAGGGCAGGAGAACAATCAGCCCATTAAAAACAGCAAATTAACCAACACAAGAATTCCATTAGAAGGAGAAGGCGATGGAACTATCCAATTTCATCACATCATTAGCATTTCTTATCAGAGGGACAAGGAAAGAATAGGGCTTTAAAATACAGGGGGATGGAGTCTGATGACAACAATGGGGGCCCCTGTCCCACGGGAAGGCTGTGACGCAGGTACCAACCTCAGTCCCACACCTCAGGGAGTGGAGGGAGAAGGGTCCTGCACTCAGCTGAGCATCTTTGAGTGCACAGTACAGTATCCCCCCAAAATTCTTCAGCTGAGACCTGGAAATGGGATGATGTGAAGACTCAGAGCATGGGGTACAAGGACCAGTTCATGGGATACAGGACCCAGTCCATGGGATATAGGACCTAGTCCACAGGGCTTGCCTTGAGCTGCTGTCACCCAAAAGCCACCTACTTTGGTGCAGGGACCACCAGAAAGCCCCACGTCCCTCCATCTCCACCCTCGGTTCCACAACAGAGAGCAGCTCCTGTGGCCTCACACCCTTGTGCCTCCCTGGTGTGACGGCACCAACCAGTAACACCAGTATGAAACCCCAGGGACACTGGGCACCTTGTGCTGGCATCCCTGAAGCCTTTCAGCCTCCCCCCCTAGGACTGCCCTGCAGTGGGAGCTTGGAATTGCTGCTGGGCAGAAACTGGGCAGCTCGAGCTCCCAGACGAAGCTGCTGCCGTCTACTCCAACCCCATGGAAATGGATTTTCACCCTTTCTCACTCTCTAAAGCAGAAGCAGCAAATGAGATGCATCAGGCAGAATTTAAGTACTCTTTAAATTTAAATATGTTATGGCTGGGAATGAAACCATCGGACGTGGAGGTTTCCACTGCAACAGGGAACACCTGGACCATCTGAGGCATCTCCCTTGGAGCCTCCAGCACTCTCCGATGCCTCTCCCAGGGCCAGCAGAGCACATTGAGCTTTTCAGTCAAAGCAAAGTTTATTTATTCAGCTCCTCTCTGCCTTAATTTTGCTGAGAAATGGGTTTGTGCATCCCCTCTGCCGGGGAAAGGCTTAAGAACAGTTGACTCAGCAGCTTTCGGATGTCACGGCTCATCCCAAGGAGCTGCGCCGGGATCAGATCCTGTTCCTCGGCAGTGAGACATCCCCAGGCATGTACTTCCCTGTGGAGCTTCTAAATCCCTTCCATAGGCCAAACCACCAAGGAAAACCCTCTTATTTGGGACTTATTGGCCTGATTTGTAAATCCAGGGCAGGACTTGCCTATCTGTTAATGGATTTTTGTGCAGGATTTCCAAGCATGTTGGGGGGTTTGTAAATCTTCCTCCTTGCTGGGAATCCATGGAAGGGTTTGGACTGGAATTAGGTGGCTGATTTTCATTTATAGGCAAAACCTGATTTTTAAATATTCTGCAGAAGACTTATTGAAGGTCTCAGCACTTGCCCAGGGCCAGGGAAAGCCATGGTCACAAGTCCAGATGGTTATGAGACTCCAGCTCTGGAGAGATCGCAGATCATTCATCCAGAGGGACAGGGCTGCCCCAGACTAATTGATTAACGGCTGCAAAAGGCCCGGAGCTCCTCAGAAACGAGGTCGTGCTGATTGCACAACCTTCTATTCGTGTTGCCTCTGCTCTCCAGGGATGGAACCCACAGGGCACCAGCCCCGTTTCTGCAAGGGCTGAGTTATAAATAAATCCAGGATCATGGGGTTGGATCCTGCCCTGGGTTATTCCAGCGCACCGAGGTGACTGGACAGTGCTGCACAAGCCCAGGGCCTGCAGCACATCCCAGAGGGGCAATTTTGTTTAATCAAGCTGATTTAAGCAACTTCAACTCCATCTTTAAACATGGCATTGAGCTGGCATTGCAAATTCCCAGAGGTATCCCAGACCCCAGCCCAAGGGATGCTGAGCCCTACAGAAAGGATGCTGATTCCTGCCAAAGGGATGCTCATCCCAGACCCCACAGCCATTAGATGACATGGGGTAGGGGACTTACTCAGGGGCAGGTGAGTGGCTCCCAGAACAAATCAAATCCAGGGTGTTTCCAGCCCCTGGAAGCACAGAAATGCTGTCACCTTCAGGCCACTGATTCCCAGGTAATCCCACCTCCACGACTCTGCTGCTTTCTCTGTGTATTTTGCTCCAAAATGGTCCAAGCAGAGCCAAAAAGGGTGTTTTTTGCTTCACACTCTGTTCCTCCACCTGCAATTCCATCCAAACACGTTGCAGCCTCTTGGAGGCTGAATTCCCCTCACACGTGTGAAAGCAGCTCATAAAGAAAACTAGTTTAAGCCATGAATCATTTAAAAAGCCAAAGGCAGGGAAGGAAATAGCCAAGTATTGCACAGATTTGGTCAGGGAGAGGATATAGGGAGTCATGGAATGATGTAAATTAGCCAGCACAGCAGAGATCCACAGCCCTGGTACCCAGGATCCCCATCCCAGCTGCTGAAATGCACCCAAATTCACAACATCATTTTCGCTTTAATTAATTCATCTGCAACAACTCCAATTGTGTCCGTTGTCTGATTCTCTCCATCAGCATTATCCCATCTGCTGGGTTTCTTTTGGAAGAATGTTTGTGGAAGGAGCAGGGAGCTCCTTTGTTTAGTACCAGGGCTGATTGAATTTGGGTGCTGGGAGCAGGATTCCACACTGTTGTCAGCAATAAAAATGAATAATCAGCCCAACCTTCTCCTGCTGCATCCCTGCTGACCCCCAACATCCCTCCCTGAGCAGCCCTGCTGCCAGCATCAACCCCATTCTCATGTGCAAGGCTGAGAAACCTCCATTTCCCTACGATTTCCCTGTTTTTCCTTTCAAGGCCAGAACAGGAAATCTGCTTGAATGGGGGTGACACACAGTGGTATTTGGGAGAGGTCACCCCAGAGCTGGGGGTCTCAGGGACATAAAGCCTGACTCCCTAGTCTCCCTCTCCCCCTTCTTCTCACCCTTGCATGTCCCTTTGGACATTTAAACCCTGTGAAAAAGGTGATTTAATTCACTCAGACGATTCTGAGTGTCTGTGAAAGGGCTTAACCTAATGAGTTTTAATGTGTCTTATGTTCTGGGTATTTTATGCCCAGGCTGCAAAATCCAGTTACGGTTTTCAGTCAGACTTAGTGAGCCGAGCCCTGCATGGGAGGGGGTGTGCTCACATGGGGGGAGGAGGAGGAGGAGGATGGGAGGAAGGTCGGGGCTGTCCCTCAGGGAGACACAGCTGGATCCCAGCCAGCTGCTGGCTCAGCAAAACTCCCCCCAGACTAAGTGCTGCCTCAATCCTGTGGGAGGAGGTTTAGGATCTAAGGGCTGGCCTCTTCCAGAGGTGGTGCCAGGACTGGCAGCCATCCCTGGAGGATGCTCATCATTCCCAAATTCTCTGGTCACTCCATTATTGGCACTCATGGACACCTGCACCATCCCTGTGACAGTGGCAGAGCAGCCCTGAGCTGCAGCTGCCGGCACATCCAGAGCCTGACAGCTCCTTGTTCCAGGGAAAGCCACGATGCTGCTGTTTTTCTCCTTGTGTTTAATGATGAGGAACAAACCCCGTAGCCAAACCAGAGCAGCCGAGTGGTTTTATCCCCAGGTTTTGAGCACCGGAGCCACTCCTGGCTCTGGGATTCGGAAAGGTGATGAGATGCATCAAAAGGATATTTCCCAAAGGGAAATCCAGGTGCACCCCACCAGCAGCACCTACAAGACCACCCCTTGTGGTATTTACAGCAGTACAAATCCCACAGAGACCATGATGGGATCCATGGGGACATCACTGGGGAGCTGGGAAGTGTGACTCCCCCCCACGGGGCTCAGCTCCACCGAAACATCTTCCATGGGCGCTGCGGGAGCACCCACCACATTCAGTCCGTGATGAACCCTCCAAGGACCCCCTGGTGGGGCAGAACCAAACCAAATCTGCCTGCAAAGCCCACACTCAGGTCTCCTCCATGGAGATTTCCCTCAGCCCTCATTAATCCAGGATTAGAGGCAGCTCTGGGGCAATTAACAAACGAGCTTTTCAGGCAGCAGACAATGCCTTCGCAGCCCATTAATAGAGTGAGAAGGATGATTTCTTGCAGCCCTTGCTTTAAAACCTCCTTTCCCAGGAGGGCTGATTCCTTTCTTTTCCTGCATCCTGCTGCATGGAGGAGATGGAAGGCCCAGTTTGGGGAGAGATCTGCCATTCCCACAAGTGCTGCAGGCTCACCCCCGGCTGAGCAGCACAGAGCAAGTTCTCCTGCCCCACACTCCTTCCCTGCTCCCAGGCTGAGCTCCTGGCTCCAGAGGGGGCCAACACACTGTGACAGAGGTACCAAAGCACAGAGATTCCTATCCCAGAGCAGAACCAGCTCCCTGAACAGCTCAGGGAGACTGAGGATTTGGCAGTCCCAAGAGAGATGGAGGTTAGGAGAAGCAAAGATTTTCCTGGGATCTGGACCAAGCTGGGAGAGATGCTGAATGCCCATGGAGGCTGTACCTTGCAGAAGGGGATCCTGCCTCAGCCATGGGAAGTGTGACTCTGGATGGGAGCCTGGAGGTGCTGAGGGGTGGCCCTGGGGACACAGCGGCAACAGAGATTTGGCTCCAGTGAAGTTGGAGTGAACAGGGAAAGGAAATCATGGAGAAGGAAACCTCAGAGCACAGCGCTGGGGAGGGAGCATTCCAGGCTGGCTGGAGCCCGTGGGGTGGAGGCCATGGTGAGAGCAAGGGCTGGTGGCACCCAGTCTGCTGCCAGGGTTGGGGATAAGATCCTCCAGGAAGGACAAACCTTTTATTTCTAGGAGAGGAAAATCACCCACGTGCCCCAGCTGGGCTGTGAGGGGACGAGGGCTCCAAGGGAACTTTCCTGTCCCCTGAGCATCAGGGAGCCTAAAACACAGGGAGACCTGGGAACTGCTGTGCTGGACACAGGCACCTGCAGCCCTGATGCTACAGCTGGACCTGACTCCTTGGGCTCCAGAGTCTTGGAAAGGCATCCAAAAATTCTTCCTGGGCGCCCCAGGCCCGTGCATGAGCAGCATAACTAATAGTATCTAGAATATTGTAATATAATGTATATAAAACTTATAGTGACTAATATATAGAATACAATACTATATGTAAAGCCATAATACCTGCTAATAATATAGAGAATATAATATAATGTATATAAAACCCACAATAACTGCTTATAATAATATATAGAATAGAACAATATATAAAAAACTAATACCTGCAAATAATATATAGATTATAATATAATGTTTATAAAAACCACAATAACTGCTAATAATATATACAATATAACATATATTAAAAAAATCTACTAACAAACCCCATCTCAGAGGAGCCCCTCGTGCTCAACTGTGTTGGACATTCCAAGGGCCAACTCAGCCAGGAGAGAGCTTTCCCAAGCCCAGGGAAGGGACAGTTCCTTATAAAGGATAACTGGACACAAATCCCCCCAGAGGAGAAGGTTACAACACTCACAGGATGAGAAGGTGCAGGTGGGCCAGGGCCAGGCTGGGTGGGGACACCCCGGGGCTGGGAGCTCCCCCCCCTGCCAGGCTGTGATTCCCAGCTCTGGATTGCCAGGAAAGTTTATTTAATCCTGCCTTCACAGAGGAAAGGGTTTATAAGGCTCAGCTCAAGGTTACCTTCACGCCACTCTGCAACAGTCTCTGCTCTCCCTGCACATATGGTTTGCTTAACTTTATATTAAAATATTCCCTTAAGTTGCCAGCTTGGATATGGAAAGAAGAAAATGAATAGAGAAGGGGTTTTTGAACAGATTATATTTGCTCTCCATTTCCCTTGCAGAGATATTCCTGCACAAAGTCTCCGGAGGAGGAGGAGGAGGAAGAGGGGAGCTCTCTCCCGCCTCTCTCCCTCTCCAAAGCAAAACCCTCCCGAAACCAGCAGAAAACAGTGAAAAATCCCTGCCGGGATGAGGCGGGAATCATCGGCTCCCGCACATCAGCAGGGGTCTCGGTCCCCCCTCCCCACCTCAACTTCCCACACATGCAGCCGCGATTTCCCTTTCCCACGCACATTCCCGCCGGGCCGGGGTCCCACCACCCCGGGCTGGAGGCTCCCCCTGTCCCCCCCGCCCTCGCCCCTTGCCCCCAGTCCCGCCGCTTCGTGTTGCGCTTTTCTCCCTTCTTTTTTTTTTTTTTTTTTAATTTCCTTGTTTTAAAATCTTTTTTTATTTCCCGGGGTGGGGGTGTTTTTTGGTTCGTCCTCTCTTTTTCTGGTTGTTATTTTGGTGTTTTTTTCCCCGCAATTCCCGCGGTTTTACCGCGGTGCCCCCTCCCCACACCCCAACCCCGAGCGCAGAGCCCCCTTTATCCCCCCCCTCCACACCTCCTCCTTACCTTCCGCGGGCCCAGCCCGGCCCGGCCGCCGCCGCTCCATCCATCCCTCCATCCGTCCATCCCTCCATCCATCCCTCCGTCCCTCCATCCCCGGCCGCCCCCGGGAGCGGCGGGGCCGGGGGGGCTCCGGGCGCGCACTGCGGGCCGGCCCCGCGGTCGGGGGGGCTGCGGTGCCGCTCGGGGGGGCTCCGGGGGTGCCGGTGCCGGCCGGGGGGGGCCCGGCCCGGCGGCTGCCGCTCGGCTCTGCCCGCAGCCGCTGCCGGGCGCCGGTACTTAACGTCTCCATCCAGCGGCTCCGCTCCCTCCGCCGCCCGCCTGCCTTTTAACCCCTTCCCTCCCGCCCCCGCGCCACCTCGTTTGCAATTTTTTTAAAATTTATTTATATTTTTTCCTCTTTTTTTTTTAGGGAGGCGGGATGTGCCGGGAAGCGGCTCCCGGGCAGGGATGCTGAGGATGCGGGCGGTGGGTGACGCTGGACCCCCACGAGGACCCGGCTCCATCCCCAGCGTTGTCCCAGTCCCGGCACTCGGGATCGGCCGGAGAGTTATTGAGCGGGGCCAACAAGGAGAAAAAAGACATTCAACAAATAAATGAATGAATGAATAAATAAATAAATAAATATTAATGTAAATATTAATATAACTATATATATAGAAATAGAGAAATATAGAGATATGGAAATATATAGATAGAAATATAGAAATGTAGAGATGTCTGGATGAAATGTGCATAAATAATATTAATAAGCATTATAAATAAACGTATTAGAGCTAGATAAAAAATATATATAATGGGATATATATGTGTAAGTATGCATATATGTTGGGTTTGGGGGTTTTTTTTGTGTGTCAGATCAATGGAAAATTAATTTGTAAATGACCAGGCTCTGGGAATAAGAAAAATTACAACTCTAAAGATATTATGGTGAGAGGGGATTTTTTCCTCACCCCTTTTATTGGCAGCTTTAAGCACTGGGGAGGATTTTTAGGGGTGCTGGGGGAGCTGGGAGCCCCATCCCCTGTCCAGTGCTGGGGATTCCTCTCCCTCAGCATTCCAGGCTGTGGCACACACCGAGTCCCTTTAGGTCAGGAGATAATTAAAAAAGGATCCAGAGGAAAACCTTGTGCTGAACATGACTAAGGCAGCACCTTCCATGGCCATGGACTCTTCTCCCACATTCAGCTTTGCTGCAAACAGGGATATGGGCTTGGAGGGGGCATTTTCCAGGTGCCAGTGGAGTGGGGGGACCCCAAGGAACGTGCCCACGGTGGTTCATGCATCCCATTGGGAGCCCCCAGCCCTGGAGCCCAAGGTGGGAGTTTTGGGAAAGCAGCAGCTGAGGGGAGGCTGGATCCTGCTGCTGTCCCTGCCGAGGGAACCTGCATCCTCAGCTCTATCCATGCTGGATGCAGGAGCATCCATGTGCAAGGAGGATCCCAAACCCCTCCAGGCAGGCGCAGGCGGATGGACCACGGCTCGTTTCCATAGGAAACCAGGCTGGGAGTGCTGCCTCAGCTCCAGGCTGGGGGCTGAGGAGCTCTTTGTACTATTTTAATCCTCCTGGCACTTGGTTCCTTGGGTTGGCCATGCAGAGCCCCAGCAGCATTCCCTCCCTCCGGACAAGGCTGTGGGAGACTGCTGGGAATGGGGGGAGATGAGACCTGCCATCAGCTGGATCAGTGGGTCCCACACCCAAGGGCTTTCCCTGCTTCCAAACAGTCCCACATTCCCTCCCAAACCAGCAATTCTGCCCTGTATTTTATAAAAACGGGGTTGTCTTCTCCCTCTGCAGCTCCCCAGAGGGGTGCTCACAATTCCAGGTCTCCTAATGGGATGCGCAGTTCCCCCTGAGACCAGCATCTGCTGGAAAAAAGTTTGGCTTCTCAGGATCCTCCTGAGACATCAAATCTATTTTCCTTATTGACTGTGGTGCAAAGGAAGTGACTCCACTTTTCCCAGCGATGCTGCACCAGAAGGACACAGTTCTGCAGGGCTTCCACGGTGGTTTTGACCCCAAAGTCCTTTTGGTTGTTGACAAGGGACTTTTGACATCAGCCTTAAGTGTTCCCAGATAAATCCCTACGTCAGGGGTGTTGGATCTTGAGCCAAAAGTGATTGTGGAGGTTCCTGGCGACAGCCTTATCCAGAGGAGTGGAGCTGGTGGCTCCCAGTGCCCTGGCACTGGAGTGGCTTTCCTTGGATAAGGGCAAATTCTAGGTCCCCATTCCAGTGGGGACACTGGAGTCACTGTCCCCTCCTCCCCACCACAGCAGGAGGCTGCAGCCCTCATTTATGGTCTTTTTAGAAACTCCTAATTACAAAGCTGGCTCAGGAGGGTTGGGAAAAAAGAGGATGAGGTGCATTATAATATTAAAAAAGCTGCATCAAATCTCATTTTGAGGATTATGAAGTGCCAGCATAAAAAAAAAAAAAAAAGCTGTAAACAGAATGTCTGAAAAGATCTTAAGCAGAAAGGTCAGAATCTAAAATTTAAATGGGTCGCTCGGTGCTTTCTTGCTCTGCTCCACTAATGAGCAGGGATGTGGAAAAACAAGTTTGGGTTTGAAGTCACAGTTTGGGCCTTTTGTGACTTGAAATGTCAATTTTTTAGTGGCTGATTTTTTCCTGGTTGGGGGGTGCAGGTGAAGCTGAAAGAGGGTTTTCTCCCACTGGCCCCCAGGAACCAGCAGCGTTCCAGCCCTGGGAGTCTCCCGGAGGCTTTGCCTTCCTTCTGAGGATGAGGCTGGTGCCTGCAGACTGGATCACTAAGGAGTGACATCCAGGGAAAGGCAGGACAAGGAGCCTCATTTGAGTCATTTACTTATTTCTATCCTCTCTGACCCCCCGGTGTGTTTCTCTGTGTTTTTCCACCTCCCAGGGAGTGGAAAATGTCCCTGCAATCCTGGCTCTCCTGGACTGGGGAGCTGGGCCAGGTTATCGTGGAGCAGCTGATTAAAAGTCAATAATTAGCAAATCCCATGCTCTTGGTGCCTGTCTCTGCTCCACCTCAGCTGTGTGGGGCAGGAAAAGGGGATAATGCCCAGAAATAAGGAATGCTGTGGAATAATCAGCTCCTGCTGGCCATGCTGGCGCCTTTCCCACTCTTCTTTTTCATATACATTTCCCATTGTTACAACTTTGCTGGGAACAAGCTGAAATCACTGAAATGAGGGCAAGCAGGGTTGTTCTGATGGGGTTTAATTGCTTGTAGGGGTGAAATTTGGGCTCTGGAGAGGTTGGAGGCAGGGGCTCTCAGTGCCCTGAGTATCACTGGCATCCCTGGCACCATCCCCAGTGCTGAAAAGGATTGACCAGCCCTTGGCAGCTGCGGGGGAATGTTGGGAAGTGGCTCTCTGGCATGGGAATCCACCCGTGATCCTGCTCCAACCGCCGTGAGGTGCTCAAGAGTTCTCCTCAATTCTGGTATTTCCCTGGGAAGCAGGTGGTGGCCATGGTCCTCTGGGAATAACGGGAGCCTCTCCTGGAGATTCATCTCCCAGAAAGCATCCCCCAGAGGGCTCACACCCCTCCTGCCCTGGTTTTCCTTAATTAACTCATTAGGATGTCAGGACAGGGGTGTGAGTCCCTGGGGAGGGACCTGGCGGTGATGGATGGCCAAGCTCAAGAAACACCCCAAGGGTCATTTTAGGGTGAGAAAAGGGAAAAAAATAGGAACTGGGATGATGTAACACTGAGCCAGGCTTCTGTGGATGCTCCCTGGAGCAGCAGGGCTGAGAGGATGGACACGGTGCCTTGGTGTTGATTTTGTGATTATTTGGAGTTGGGGGAATTGATAAAAAACCCACCCAAACAAGAAAGAGGCAACTGTGTGGATTAAAGCTGGAAAGAAGAGGATTAAGAGATTGAAGGGAAAAGAAGTGCAGAGAATGCAGATGGAGGGGATCTTTCCCCTTTCAGCCACTCTGCCAGTGGAAAAAGGGGGAAAAAAACAGATTTTGATAAGCTCTTTAAAAAATTCATGAGGTTTCCATCGTTGTTTATTTATTTGTTCTCCTGGGATAAACTCCTGAAATACAACATCCCATTTGTCAGCAGGGCATAAATCAGATTGTCCTACTAATAAATTCTAAAACCCAACACTCTGGGCCTGTGTTGCTGGGCTGGAACAGGGTGGGTGGGCATTGTGGGGCAGGAGGGGATGGTTTGGGGCAGGAGATGGCTCAGGGAAGGAGGGAATGGTGCATCCAACATGGCCTGGAACACTCCCAGGGATGGGGCAGCCACAGCTTCTCTGAGCAATCTGTGCCAGGGCCTCACCATCCTTACAGGGAAGAATTGCGTCCTAAAAATCAATTTAAATCTCCTCTCTTTTAGTTTAAAGCTCCTTGTCCTCCGTGAGAGCCATTTGCCCCCTGAATACAAAGCATCGAGCCATGCAGGAATTCACCAGGAATGGGCATTTTGCAATCCATGGGGCTGCTACAGGGTGACCTTGGGCTCAATGCTTAACTTTTCAGGGCTGCTGAGGTCTCAAATGTGATGAAGATTCCTCCCAGGGGTGTCCTGAGTATCTCCTGGTGCTCTATGAGTATCAGAGGCACGTCCTGAGCTGCAGCCTCCACTCCCACAGCCTCTGTCACACACAGCCAGCTCAGCACCTTCCCTTAAACTTCAAAAAGAGATTTAATTTCCATTTATTTCCGCTAATTGATGGATCTGGGTTTGTCTTTCATGTGTTTTTGTAGTTTGCAAGCTGCCTGTTGGAGCACAGCGGGCACCAGCATGTGACTGTGCCCTGTTGCCATGAATGGCATCACCAAACCATCACCAAACCCTTCCTCACAGCCCCCAGAATTTTCTCATGCCCTGAAAACTTCAGGCTTTTGGAGCAAAAGTGTCTGAAGGAGGGAATTTTCTTGCCTGATGGAGGCTTTGCCCAGACCTAGCTGGGATCCACCAGGACCCACTCTGGGAGGGCAGCACACCCAGGACTGGAGCATCTGGGATTCAGGGAAATAAATCCTTGATGCCTGCAGCAAATCCATGGGTCATGCATGATTAAATGCCAGGGATAATGGTGA